CAAGAGTTTTCTAATAAATTTGTGTGCTTTATTTCCTATTTACTTATGTACTATACCACGAAAAGTGAAGGGGCAACGAACAGAATAAAACTGAATACAGAAACTAAAGATGAATTTGGACCACATTTCCAAGTATCATCCAACGGTCCAAAAATATGGAATGGGATATACATTCAAAGGCATGCAAAATAGTACAACGCATGAAATACAATCACAGATTCTAACTTCTCAGTCAAATCAATGAAAACGTCGTGTGTTTTTTTTTTTACAGGTAATTTCAGGGTAGGACATGAAAATTCAGTGAAAATAACGAACAAAAAGTCGTGACTATAGAAGTACCAAAACTTATTGGTTATCGAATGTCTACCGAGTACGAGTATGTAATATATGCAAAATCAACATAAAACTTGTATAGAAAGCTGTACATACCTCACAGAATTTGGGTACACGCATGATCCATAACCTACACAATCATAATAAACCGAAACAGAGCGGGTTATAACTTATAACACCAAAACATTCTTATACAAAGCTTATTCTTACTAAATCAAACCGGAAAAAGTATGAAATATGAATCATGCAATATCAAAACAAACTAAACAAATACAGAACTTTGTCCAACTAAGTGGTTCCCGACCGAGGGAGATTATGAGTCAAATGCCCAAAACTTGTTAAAAGTAAAATAAAATAGAGAACTTTGTCTACCGAGATACATACATCAACTACTATAACAATTTTACCGAGTTAACTGATCCGGTTAAGCTTTGGTTATGTAAAAATACATACTTGGATCGGTTTTGGCGATGGTGGAGGTGCCGGCGAAGTTGCAAGAGCCAGGAGCCATGGCTCTACGCTGAAAGTAACTGTTGAAGGCGTAAGATGCATGAGCCTGAACGGTGTTAGGGAGAAAACAAAGACCATTGGGCTGGATGGGAGCACAGTCGGCTCCAGCAGCACATGCGTAGTCTAGAGCCGCTTGAAGCGCCTGGCTCGTAACATCAAACCGAGCAACACACCACATCGCAGT